AACAAAACCATAGTCCGCACGCAGGACGACGGGAGGACGAATTTCATGTGTCGAGCGACGCCCTCCAGTGCGTGATGTTGACCTCGACGGGTCGGGTCGATGTGGGATGCCCCGTTCGCTGAGGTGCTGCGCGAGCTACAGGGTCTTCTTGCGGGCGACGGCAACAGGAGGTGACGGGGAAGCCAATCGAGTGACTCACCGGCAAATTGAGGGATAATTCACTGTTGCTACAGGTCTTTAATGGTAACATGTTCGTAACTCACCGGTGGGCACTAATTCAGGTCAGTTACCATGTCCCTACTTCAATCTCACTGTTTCTTCCCGTCCGCCTCCATACTCTGGCAAATACTGTCACCGGCAGTGGCGCTTTGGTCCTTGTCTTCTAAATTCTGCCAGTCTTCCCTCCTTCGAACATTCCCTCTTCTCCCATCCTTATCAAATTTTTACAATTCTTCTTATTCATGATGTTCTTTGTACTCCCAATTCCTAAATGAATGCAGGCGTCAATGGATTCAAGTGTGATTCTCCTAGGTTGGATTACGTCAATCTCCAATGAATAACAGACAGGTTAGTATGCGTGTACTATTCTGCCTCCATGAACTGCTTCATTTTTTTTTCCTAATGATGCTATCCGAAACCTTTGCAAGATTAAACAGTAATGAGAGGTCAAATTATTGTGCTGGTGACTATGCGATCCAAGAAAAATATCGTGTTAGTACTATTTGTATTTCTCTTGGCTATTTCTCCATCTCATTTTTATGTCTGATTTTGTGTGTGACATTTTGATATAATATGATGCTTTGTAAATAAAATGCAGCCTCTACCAATATCTAGAATAGCATAGGACTATTCACATTTTATAGCTGTATTTTCCACGTAATTTTTTGTGGTTTTTTATGTTGTGATATAATACGATGATCTGTAAATAAACATGCAGGTTATTTATGTTGTGAGTCAAAATCTTGGTGCAAATCTCCTTTTGGCCATTTTCATGAAAGAGTGAAGTGCATCCTAGGTCCTGAAACAATTTCAGACACACCATGTAGGTCCTCGAACTATGAAAATCATCATATAGGTCCTCAAAGTGCAATATATGTGTCATCCAGATTCTCAAACCATTTCAGAAGTGTCACACATATCCTTCAACTAATTCAGAGGTGTCACGTAAGTACACACTTATTGCACTTCAAAGGACCCTCGAGGACTTTTCACGGTTCGAGGACCTACATAACACCTCTAAAATAGTTTGAGGACTTAGGATGCACTTAACTCCTCATGAAACCTAATTTCTTCTCATCTATATATTTAATAGGATCTTTGCATGGAATTTCTATTATGGATTCTTTTGGAAAATTGCAATAAACCAAGATAGATGACAATAGTCACGAATTGCAACCTAAATCTTTCATTGTTTAACTGTACATAAAACATGCAAAATACATGGGGTGTCATGGTTATCACAAACCAAATGCAATCCATATTTCTTCCATTGAAAACAACCAAACTTTGGCCGGTGTCCTTCACATTGATTCATTCTATCCTCGGAAGTAGCAGGGGTCGAGGAGATCATGGGCAGGATGATGCCGACACATTGTTTTGTGTTTGCATGCGTGGATGTTGTTGTCCATTGCGTGTTCACCTAATTGACCGGCCTCTGTTTTCATTTTTTAAATTGGTAACACATTTTTATTTTCTCTTCGGTTTGCAACTTCTTTTCAAAAGCAGCAAAAAGAAGATAGCACGGTCAGGGTGCCTCTTACTTTGTGTCACTGGTTTTACATGTCTTTTCTTTTGATGCGCATATTGATAATTCATGTATGCAATAGAAGTCAAGCAGGATTACAGATCACACGTGGAATGCCACTTAGTCAATTATCAATATGACCATATCAGGTACATCATTGCCTCCAAATAACTATAAGGTACATCATGTATGCAATAGAAGTTTCTTCCTTCTCTTCAGCTGTAGTTCATTGTGTAGATGTATATATACTGCAACATCGATTTTACCAGTGATGAAAGTCTCACGTCTTCTTAGGAAGTGCATTACTTATGGACTTTGTTTGTCAGCTGGCATCTCTTATATATTCCAAGAAGTATGTTATGCTATCACGGAAACCTATATATGTTTGCTGGCATCCATTTTATCTCTATTGTACAGAGAATTCTTTCGAGATGTAGCAGTGCGTGTTTCATATGGTTGAGAAACTAAACACCTGGTTTAGTCTCTCTAAAAATATGTGGGAACGAGAAAGTCAGTATCATTCACTATCCATTCAGTGATACACCATAGTAGTTGATTCAGGTCATTCATGACTTGTTGCGACATTGAATCATTCTGGGTTTGGTTAGTTCAGTTTTTCATTTTAGTTAAAAAAAACTTCTTTGACTTTCTCTTTTGAGCCAATCCACGTGTTGTCCAGTTTCATTTTATGTTGTACATCAGGAAGGGCAATTATTCACTCAGAATCTAAACTTACAAGGTCATGCATTTCGTAGTTAGAAAAAAAATAAGCCTTGGTGAAAATAATTTGCTCAATAACAGAACTAGCAGTTCTGTATAACCATGCAATTATAATATTGCAATTTCCATTTGTTTTTAGGTTTTTAAGTTAGCATGCTGCAGGCCTACATCTCCAGGCTTTCGGGAGCTTATCATGTTGCTACAGTTTATGAATCAGCATTTTTTTTTTTGCATAAATATCACCTTAGGACTCAATGCAACACAGTCGTCATTGTACTAATTTCTCCTGATGTCTACACGAACAACTACTCCATTGTGCTATGAAGGATGTTAGTTGATGCCACTAGAGATACTAAACCAGTTGTAACTCCCAACATCTTGCCATACCACGTTGACTTTATGTACATTCTTCCCTATTGATGGCCGCTCTCCGCAGAGAATGAACAAAGTAGTTTCTCGCTTACATTGTTTTCTTTTGGTGATTTTACTATCACTTTTATGTTTGCCACTTTATTTGGGTTCACGTTACTGGCATAACTATATTTATTAGTAAGCATGTATATACATATATTCATTCTACATGTTGTACCTTTGGTATTTTTATATTCAACTTTTATGCCACTTAATATTTACATAAATCCAAATCATTCTATTGAAAAAATGGACGGGCGCAGCAATGCGCGCCATCATGGTCTAGTTAACCCTAAGACTAACGGACCCATTAGGCCCATTACGTATTCTAACACTACACCCCACCTGGACATGCAGCTTGTCCTCGAGCTGCAGCCTAACCAACTTATAACCATGACTCGACGCAACACAAACCTAACACCTAAAAACAAGCCTTTTACATCTTGGCTTGTTTTATTATTCTCAACCTAAAATGGACTGGGACGCTTTATTTTGAACCCCTTAACAAAAAGTGGACACCATCCGCTCGTCGGGCGTGCACGTGTACAGCCACCTGGATCCCATGGACACCACCTGAACAAAAGGAGTGCATGTGTATGGCCACCTGGAAGTGGGCGCAAGAGTGACCAGCAGAGGTGCCCTCGCGGCGGCCGGTGGCGTAATGCAGTGGTGCTACGCGGTGCGCTCCTATCGGTGACACCATGCCTTCTCCCTGCCGGACGGCTGTTGGTCTGCACCGCACATGAAAGAGTGGAGGGCTTGCCATGGAGAATGACGAGGAGGGGTGCGCCCCCCCAACCGCCGATGTCGCAGACTTTGAGGTCGCTGACCGCGGGGAAAACAGCGCAGGCCGCCCGTGGGGGAAACCACATGCCCAAGATCCCCGACGCAGCGGACGAGATCGAGGTCCTTTGCGCAGCGAAGGGCAACTTGGAGGAGCGACAGCTGCAGACCACGCATCTCCCGCACACGCCGATGCGCTAGGAGGCCGCGCGCAGCAGCCTGCAGCCTCACCGCCGCCGACACATGGCGGGTAGCGATCCAAGACAGAAGCGGTGACGGCGATGGCAGGGACTTGATCTGCTGGATGTGGACGCCCTGGGATGGCGGCGGCGCTGATCGGAACGAGGTCGTCGCACTCCCGTCATAGGGCATCCCATACTGGGCGGCGGAGCTGACCGACGGGGGCTGCTGCAGCTGCAACGGCTGCTGCGCTGTCGCGCCGGGCGCGGCGGAGGCCGCCAGGAGCGGCGGCTGCCACTGCAGCCAGGGCTGGGCGATGGTGGCGATGGATGGCAGCTGCAGCGGCCCGGCGAGCGCGGCGAAGGCCGCCTGGTGCGGCGGCTGCCACGGCAGCCACGGCAGCGCGAGGGCGGCGATGGGTGGCGCAACCGAATGCGGCCCATAGGAGCCGGCCAAGAACAGGTGGATCTCCTGGACCACCTGGGTTAGGTCCCGCAGCACTCCGGACACGTCCTCCCAGGTGAGGACGGTGGGGGCGGGCGCGACAGAGGATCCTGGCGCGGGCAGGAGCGGGATGACGGTCGTGGTGGTCGCCGGAGGCGACAAGGTGACCGGCAGCGGAAGAGACGGGCTTGACGGTGGTGAAGACATGATCGAACCGAAGCTAGCTGATACCAAATTGTTATGGCGCTGCTAGAAGGAGGGCGCGAGAGGGCCGGCCGGGGGCCTTTCTGCCCACGGCCGGGCAAGAGGGAAGGGATTTCCTTCTTAATTCTTGCCTGATTAGATTGATACATCTCCTCTCTTTATATAGAGAGGTTTACTTGACTCCCAAGCAAGGCTTACTTGACCCTAAGCAAGCGACCCTTATCTCTAATTAATTCTAAGACTAGCGGACCCATTAGGCCCATTACGTATTTTAACAATGAGCCAATCTAAGATCCTTCAAATTATCACAGCAGATGTCATAGCTATATGGGTAGCCAGACACGTAGGAGGAATCATGGGCTCCCATCTCAACGTAATTTCCATTAATCTCGAACCCAAATTTTTGGAGATTCGCCCATCCTGGACCAAATTCTAGGAGGTCATACTGGTTGATTCAATCGCAATCCTTTACAACAAGTTCTCGTAATGATCCGTACCTCCCAAGGTATTCCAGTCACTTCATCTTGTCTATTGCCGTGCAGTCAACAAGGTGGAGAACCGAAAGATACCTGCAACCGACCGCCACCTGCAAAATCCCAGTAGAAGTTACTGCTGGTGTGTGGTTTAGCCTGAGGGACCTCAAATTTTTGCTCTCTACTAGATAAGGAAGATCAATGTCATCGATGTATGAGCAGAAGCTTAAAGCAAGATCGGACAGCGAGTGGCAGTGAGATGATAGAACAAGGAGGCCTTGGTTTTTCAACTGGTCCCCGTCACTGTGCTTCCATTCAGAATAATTGATCTCTACTTTCGCCAAATTGGGAAACTGGGAGAACAGCGATACCAAGGCTTCTGTCCTAGTGTTGAGTCCACAGCCAAGACGGATATCATCCCTATGCTCCGCCTCGATGGTGCAGAGCTGCTTCGACACGAGGCAAAGAGAATTACGATCACTTGTCTTGGTAACCCTCTTGACGACCTCTAAAAGCAGTGCCTCTGGGAGACCCTCCATCGAGAATCTCCGTGGCATGACTTGGGAATCTCAATGCTCGGCAAAGAGCTGAAATTTAAATATTATTATCAGAATGGAACAAATCAATATAATCAGATAATAGCTGTTAAAACTCATGTAAAGGGAACATTGATGAGGCTTTGAACGGTTATGTATCTTCTGAAATATTCGTGCGGTAAACTTCAGACTGAACCCTAATTGAGAACTGAGTCATAGCCCAGTGGTAGGAGCATTGTGGTGTATGTCCCTACCGAGTAGGGCTCGAGTCCTGTGACGAGCGCTAGTGTCTCACAGTAACTTAATAAAATTATACAGGGCAGCTCCCCATTCGGACTCAATTTGTTCCACAGTCGACGATGATAGCACCTATTTGTATCTGAAAAAAATTCTGAATCGTGGAACAAAAATAGTTCCTTGATTATTTTATTTGTAGCTAACAGCACCGTATTTGTTGATGTATCTAACCAATCACATGAGCATGTTATAAATTTTAGACGCTCTGGAACATCTGATACTAACAAAAACAAACTTATCCACTCCTGCATTCCGCACACATCCAAAGTTCCAGAGCAGGTTCATACATAAATCTGCAGCAATTAAATCAGACCTAGACACAACACGGTCATGGAATCAACAGAGCACAGCGCAAGAATGAAGCTCACCTGGACACTAGACGGCGGAATCAACACCACTAACTAAGCGCAGTGCAGCAATCGAGTTCACCTAGGTTCTGCTCAAAAGGGGAAAGGCATCGACCCGAATCCGTACCGCAGGGGGATAAGGAATGCCGGCGTCGGGAGGGAAGGACCGAGCGGAGACGGCGTCGATCGTGGGGCGGTCCGGAACTGGGTGGCGGCCGGCGGCAGGAAACCTCTGCCGCGACCTCGGAGCAGAAATCCTCGTCTGGCGGCGCTTTTTTTTTTGGGAATCGTTTGGGAACGGAGCGCCGGCGGAACGCTCGGCCGGTCGCTCCCGCTCACGCGCGCCTAATTGGTTGCGCCCAGGCGGGCCCGAGGGAGGCCCACCCAAAGACAAATTCGCCTTATCTCCTCCCACCTCTGTCTCGTCTTTCCCTCCCCAAATATCTCTTCCCAGTGCCCATCTCACACACCTCGCGCTGCTCCTTGCTACGGACGCCATGGCCTTCAGCAGGAGATCCTACCACAGGGGGAGCACGACGGCGGATGCTGCAACCAGCACCCGCCGGAGCTGGGAACGATGACCACCGGCCGCTGCAAAACAGGGGGCACCCGTAGATGACTGGAGCCTGGACGGTGCGGCGAATCGATGTGCTTCAACCGGCATAACACAGGGCTACAACCGGCAAGAGTTTTTGCTGGGACCGGCGAGTTTTTTTGTTGCATCGAAGAACGACGGAAGCTGCTGCCATGAAAAAAGCTGGAACTGGCTACGGGAAAAGTTACAACCAGCAAACAAAAAAGCTTCAACCATTGTCACGGTGACCACGAGCTACATCGACGGTGACCACGAGCTGCACATTTGCTGGAAGCGGCATCATGGGGTGCTGCAACCGGTGATGGCAGAAGCGTCCACTGGCCATGTGAAAGCTGCAACTACAACCAGAGGGAAAGCACGACCAGTGATCGGAATTGCTACAACCGGTGACCGGGGTGGGCGAGAAGAAGATGCTACAATATATTTTTGCTGGAAGCGGTGATGAGAAAAGCTTCAAGCGGCAATGAGAAAAGTTTCAACCACAGACTACAAAAGGTATAACTTATGAACGGCGATGAAAAGCTGCAACTGTCGGTGACAAAAGCTATAACCGGCCATGAAGAAAGCTTCAACCATTCATGTCTCAGCGCTAACCTAACAATTTTTCGCTGGGACTAATGAGCTTTTTTTGCTGCATGCGTTTAATGAAGCAGGACGGTGACGAGCCATGGAGTGCGTCGGGCGACCGCAGCAGCGTGTGCCGCGAGCTTGACGGAGGGTGCTGCGACCGGGGCGGCGTGGAGCAACGAGGTCGCCGACGACATAGTGCTAGCTCGGCGAGGGCCACGAAGCGCTAGAACTAGATTCGGGGGTGGGATGGAGCCTAAGAGTGCGGCGCCGATGAGTGCGCACTACATGCTGGAAATAGGCAGCGGCGAAGAGCACGAGCCCGGATATGCAGTGGTTTGACGAGGTCGTGGGCAGTTTTTTTTTTCTGCGAAGCACTTGTGTTACGAGGATCATGCCAGAATCCCATGGCCCACGTAACTCGTATCGCGCGGCTGCCAGGGGACCGGCCGAAACTTTCGGCCGGCGCGCCGGCGCCTATTGCTGCCCTTTTTTTTTCTGAGGGATTCTCGCGGCGCCTTGGTGGGGAAGTGGCGAAGAAGAGAAGATGCCTCTATGTGGGCTTCAGAGCAGAGCCTTGGGCCGGGCCGTGATCAATAGAGACCTACATCCCTCCTCGCAGGAGTGTGGTACTGCTGCTGTCTCTTTACTCTGCATCTCTATTTCCTAGAAGCAGCAGCTGTGTCTCAAAAAAAAAAGCAGCAGCTGCATTTCTCAAAAAAAAAAAAGCAGCAGCTGTGTCTCAAAAATAAAAACAGAGCAGTAGCAATATTGCAGCAGTACAACTGTCCTCCTGCATTAAAAAGGAAAAAAATGACAAGGTAGCAGCAGCACAGGAGCTATCAGTACTGCACCTATATTTCACCCGAAGATATGCAGAGCCAAGAAACACCGCCAGGGTCAGATCAACGAACACAAGCGTGATCCATTTCCCTATCAAGTTTCAGAGTATCTTCTTCTACCACCAACCCCACCAAAGAAGCACTGATTCCAAGTTCTCCTTGTATCCATCCACACAGGACAAAGCACAGAGAAAAAGGTCAGTCAAAGAGCACAAACCCCTTTCCACGGAAAAGACCAGCAAAGGCGTCAAAGCAGTAGAATAGCATTACCCTAGGCTCGCTCAATCATACACCACGATCTCATTTACTGTTACCCGGTGGACGTTGAATCAGAATCCACGACGCACCATTATTCTTCTGGATGAAGCTAAGCTAGGCTAGGGATGCAGCAAGGATCGACGGAAATTACAGTGTACGTATGTTCCAACGAGCTGATATTTTCCTCTGAAGAAACGATCTCTATCTAGTACATTATCTCCGATGATGTGTCTTTCTGGCCGGCGCCGATCGACTTCACGCCGTCCCCCGTCCCATCCGGCCCGTCGCCGTCGCCAACTTTTCGCGCGGCTGGAGAAGGAAGGAAGGCGGCCCCGTCGCCGGGGCCCGCACGGCACCTCCACCGGAAAATCCCCGTCGGCGGCTGCGTAGGCGCTACGTAGTGCGGGCGGATCGCGCGCCCACCGCATATACCCTGCGTTGGCATTGCGTTGCGCCCTAAATATCAGCCCGATTTTTCTCGATCGTTCTAGCCATGAAATGAGCCGAGAAAGGGTGCCAAGATGGCCGGGATTTCTGTGGTGATCGCGGGTGCAAGGTGAGGCGTGAAGTGTGAACCGGCGGTAAGCTGGGAATCTGCTGCTGATGGGCTAAGATTATAAAACCCAGACGTACGTGCGGCTGCAACTTTGAAGTTTCTTTTCCTTCCGAGTTGGATGGTGGCCGTCCTTTTTGTCCGGCTAGTCTCACAAGCCATCATCGCCATGATCGCGATTCGTGTGACGTGACGCGGACCGACCAACTGTTCGACTCAGAATTTATATTTCATCTCATATGGTAGAACTCTGAACTGATCTCCAGAAGAACATCCTTGCGAACTCCAGAAATGAGTAAGCACGCTAGCTTTCGCTACAAGGAATGGCCAGGTGATGGGCGCATAAAAAAATGTTTGGACTGGAGATGGATATGGATTGGACGGAGACGACCTAATGTACGTACAGTGCCAATTGCGGGATGCAGTGGAACGCCCATGACCGAAAGGCCGCCAAAAGGATGGATTGACTTGAAAAGGTCTTGCACTCATCTTTAGGGGTGTCCATCCCGCAGGTATGTGCAATGTATGCATGTTCCTTCGGCCACAAGGTTGGAAGAGTTCACTGGTATCTCACAAGAAGGTGCAAATGAAACTTCGTCCGCGGAAGTAATCAGGCCACACGCAACCAATAAGAAAAACTGCATTGGTATTCAATCAAGATATAAGCTCAATTGGGCGTATTTTTTCAACGAGGTGGCCGCTTACCTACACGCTTCAAAATTGAGGGGAAAATCCACCCATCAATTTTGACTATCGCAGAAGTTCATTCGTCAGCCGTGGACTCAAATTGTTTCAATTTGTTTCAAACAAACAAAAAATTTACTTCCGTTTATACTAGTATATACATTTTCACGAATGAAAAAGCACTATTAACTTCGGGGTGATTTAACTAATCGTTTTCCTCCTGTCCCTGGCGGCTGGAACCCTAGCCGCCGTCAGGAGAGCCCAATCTTCCAGCGCCGTCCTCCGGCGGCTCCCCTCCGCCGGCGACCTCGGTCGTCGGTGGTGAGGGGGGTCGCCGGATCCCCATGTGGATCGTTTTTACTTTCTCGTAGTCTAGATTTTAGGTTGTTCATCGTTTTGGTTTCGGTGGCGACGATGACAACGCTGAATAAAGATTCTTGGGATTCTTCCTTGACAAGGCCATCGGTCCTATGGTTGGGGATGGAATTGGAAACTAGTATGTTCAAATAAGGATGGCGTGGCGGCGGCGACATCCTCGTGGTGGACTTGTGTTCTCAGGCTCCACCGTTGCGATGACGTTTGCTCCAGCGTCGGCATGGAGATTGAGAGGTAGTCCAGGAGCGGATACAGATTGTGGTCTGCATCCACGACATCTGGAAGACGGAACATGTGTTGGGTTCGTGGTTCGTGGATGGCAGATATATTTTCCTTCTGCGACGTCTTAGTCGCGGTAGGGTGCCAGATCTGGAGTTCGATGGCGTATCTACTCCGGTCTGATTCGTTCAACGGTAAGGGCTTCACTATTGGTGAGCCACCTTGGAGGTCCGTAAAGCTGCATATCAGCGATGGAGCCGCGTCGAGTTCGGGCGAGGAGGTGG